ATAATTAATTACTATTGAATAATAAATTTAATATTATTCAATTTTTGAATCATTAAAAATTTAATATGATTTTTTTGCATTACTATCGCAACTAATTTCCATATGTTTTGCAATCTATTCTAAACGCTCAWAATATACCAACAACAATAATATTTACGCAATTCCCACAGATATTTGAAAACCATTTTCCCCAAAGCAGACGAGATGGTACTACTTGACATACTTGCCAGCTCGGACAATAATGTACAAACAGCTTCTGAGAAACTCATCTCGATGGGCTATACAAAACGTGACTTTATACCACCAAAAATATCGCATCGCTCCGATCATGAAGCTGCACACGCAGCCGCAGCTGCCAAAAGAGCTGCCGAGGGGACAACTATAACGTTGCAACCAAAGATTTACACAGCGGAGGAAAAAACAACAAGTAAAAATAAAAAAAAAAAAAATTGTTTGTTAATTAAATCGCTAAAACAATTTATTTCATTTTTTTATTTCAGTACAAGCGCATATGATGGAGAAGTTTCCACAGTTGGCGGAACGCATTATACTCATGGCGCTGGAGTCGGTCAACTATGCTGAGGATCGTGCCATACAAATTCTCTATATTGTGCAAGAAGAAGACGAGTTGCATGCAAAGAAAAATGCCGCTACAGCAGCTGCTGCGACCGATGCAGTAATGCAATCAGCCAGTGGGCCTGATGCCGAAGTGATTTTGGGTGCAGCGGATAGTATGCATGGCCCTGGTGGTGCTGCCGCCGCTGATGATAGGTGAGTTTAGTTGTGTGTTACAAAGTGTTTGGTGATTTTTGTTTTTGACTACTTTTTTGTAATGGACCAATTTCGGAGTGCGAAAAAGTGTTAATCCTTGTGACCTCTCATGTTTCACCAATAACCTCCTGGTGTATGTTTTGTTGCATTTCTATAATATACAATTGGATTTTTATAATTAACTGTAAATGCTTTGAAAATTGCCTATCAATATTATATAATGGGATTCGAAAATGTTCAAATTTATTATAGATGCCAAAATCGTACTTATTTGCTGGTCTACTTTCTATGATAATGCTATGAGGCTATCTATTACTCAAAATTGCATAACTATTCGCTCATGTTTATTTACGAATGTATTGTATTATTTTCCTTAATTATAATACAAATATGAAAAACAATATTTTTGAACATCAAAGTTACATCATTAAATGTTTTTAATTTTGGAAAGTAAAAAAATTTGCAATCCAACCAAAAATTATATCAATTTTGTGTGGAAAACAGTAATACCACAAAAATTTTTAATTTTTTCACTTTCCAAAATATCGTAATCGCAAAGAATGTGTCATTCTACTTAACCTACTACGATTTTTCGCTTTCTTATTTCTTTTTTTCAAACAATATGCATTTAATTTGTGCTAATAATCCCCAAAAATTGTTTTTCCCTCCCTCAACACTTTAAATGAACTAAGCAGTATCATCACTGTTGTTGTCAAAACACCGTTAAATAGCTACAACGATGACCGCAAAAGCTATCAAAGTGTTTCAACGAATCATAACACATATGCGCCCACATCATTAACATCAACATCATTACCATCACCAACATTTTCATCATCAGCATTTTTATCATCATCGCTGCCACAATCTTCAGCAGCATGCAGCGCTTTAAAATCCTCCACAAAAATAAACGCCACAAGAAATATTGGTAGCAAAAAGGTAGCATTTCCCTCCATAAATCTAACCACGCCCACTACAGCTACTACACAAATTATACTTTCAAATTCACCCACTTGCATTGAACGCGACGAAAAGGAAACGATGGCGCCGGCAGTGGTAATAGCAGCTGGTGATGTCGTAGACTCCTTACCCAAATCATCCACAATCATTAATCCATCAGCTACGCCATCATCAACCTCTATATCACCGTCCAAAGCTCTAAAAGAACTTCACATATCATCCGAATTGCCATCTTCAGCTACATCAACTTCGAATCTAGTCGCCAATGAGTATGAGAAACTGACTACAAGAAGCATGCTGGCTCGTTGCAATACATATGCCTCTGGCATCCAGGGATATCTGCATGGCACAAATTCCAATAAAGCTGCCAACACTTCGGCTTCTATTTTGGACAAATTGAAATTGACACGCTTGCGCGAAAAGACCGAACCGCTAAAGTACGATGAACTTTAACTGTGAAATGCTTGTTGGAACTTTTACTTTTTCTACTTTTTTTTTGTTAAATCTTTTACTTGCTCTTTAGGAGCTATGGAATTATTTTTGATTACTTGTAAAAATAGATTTTTACTTTTCTTTGCATCGTGGACTTGGTAAATGGTTGTTTCTCAGTAGTTCTATTAAACTATTAACATCTTCTAATTTTTATATGAATTTCAATCTTATGTATGAATCAGAACTGAAAGTACGAAAACTTTAGAGAATAAGAAAAATACTTTGAATTGTTTATTTAATTTTATACTTACTTATGTTCAAAAATCGAGTAAATTTTCCTAAAATGCCAAACCCTTTTATTTCCGTAAGTGGATTATCAAATTTCTGTACAAAAATTTGTTTTTGCTTATTTCGGTCTTTAATATTTTGCTTTGCATCGATTACTAAAAATTAAGCTGAACTAGTTTCCTTACTTTTTGTATATAAATATGTACATATGCACATATAATTTGTGGGCATGCTTTTTTTAATCCTTCAGACTCCACTCATCTACTTGTTTAGCATTTAAACGTATTTCTCTGTATGTGTGCTTGTGTTCCATTATTTTTTCTCCAATTTTTATATAAATTTTAAACTCATCACTTTTCTTATTCCTAACACCAACAAAAACAGCGCCGCACAACAAGATTCCACTGATGGGGCAAGTATTTATAAGCAGCGCCAAGATTTTAAGTCCATTATAGGGCGTATAACGACAAGTGGACACAGTGCAGATTTGGCTAAAGGTGCCGATGAGAGTTTGCTGCTGTAAGYTAAATTTTGTAATTGCTTTCTTTGTTGCAATAATAGTTCCCCCTTAATTATTTAGCGCCGACTATGTRACCTGGAATGGCGCCAATCCCGATATGCCGCAAGGGAACAATCAAAAACAATTGGCACAGGGTCCAGACGCCGGTAAATTAAGTGAGCGCAGCTATACAGCCATTGGCCGCAATCCGGAACTTTGCAAGGGTGCCCAAAAGGGTTTGGCTAAAGGTAGCATTTATGCTCAACTCGCTGCAGCTGGCAATACGAAAACGACAAACATTAAATGTAATTAATAAAGTGTGTGCAAAATTTATATTTATACAAAATGCTGATATTACATTTTTATATGTACTGTTTTTGAGTGTGATTACGTGCCAAATGTAGTTAAACGCTTTGTCTATTCTTACTTCAATTAATATTTTCAACTTTTTTGGGTAGTAGAACGGGCGTTTACACATATTCGTCCATTTACTTAGTAATTACACTGTCTACTAAGTTTTCCATTATAATCTCATTTTCAAAAATCTCTACAATAATTTTTTCGGAAGAATATATTGAAAATTCCAAGAAAAAATACAAATAATTGATATTAGTAACACATGTGCACAAATACATGTAATCAGTGTTGTGTCGTAAGTTTATCAAAACTTGTAGCTCTTGGAACCGTTAGTGCGTACTTATACAGAACATAATTCAAAATACGTATATTTTTTCGAATAAAGCTGTATTTTTAATAAGGAGCTAAACTGCTTTGATGTTTTCTTATTTTGTTGTTGTTGTAGCGGCAGAATTTATTTCGCGTTGTCAGTATTTGGCAGGATAAAAATTCCATTCCGGTTACCTAGACCCGACTGTCGTTGGAATGGCGTTTTACTTATTTTCAATCCGAATCAATTTCGGTAATGTTCAATGTATGTTTTACTCGCTACTATATGAGGAGCGCTGAATATTTTGGCTAGAATTTCAAACTTCACTCTACCCACTTCATCACATTCACTTAAAACTCCTTCCATGTCAAAAACATCAATTGTAAACCAGTAACATTTTATGATTTTAGAATTGAGTCTATTTGTGTCAATTAATTTTAATTAATTTTGTCACTATGAAAATTAATAACAAACCATAGATGTTTTGATTTAGAAATAAGTATTAAAAATAACTAAATATGTACAGGATAAAAAGTAGTAGCACGTCTTAAACCTCATCCTCGTTCAGCAACATATTCGGTATGCCRTCGGTTATTCGAAAAACACGACCCGTTTCAGGACACTCCAGTTGCCCTTCAAGGACATCAATCTCTAACAACAAATGGTGTAGTTTTTTTAATAACTCCTCATTTTCAGCGACATTTGCGGGTAGCTCGGCAGGAATATCTTCATTGAGCCCAGCCTGCAACAAAATATATATAATATTTTAGTCGGTTGAAATTATTTGTTTTACAAAAACAAAATCATACCACTTCAGCGGCCAAGCGAATACCTGACCAGTCAAGTCTAGGCAGTAGCCGCTCTATAAAGGTTGGATTGAACTCTGCTTCCACAACGTCTTGCTTAGCTATCTGTAAGTACATTAGTTTTATATTACTTGCGGTAAAATGGTTTCAAATAGTTGCAAAGCTTCTTTCGAAAGTAGGACCAAGTGTTATGGGCCGGGAGTAGCACAAACAGTTTTACTTACAGTTAATTTAAGTGGAAAACCAACTTTTACACCTTTTATGGCTTTAGATGTCAAGAAGTTATAAGTGCTGAGCCTCATATTTTTTTGTTATTTCAAAAACACTACAAAATTATTAAAGATATAAACTACACCTTTTTACCACGTTCTTAAACAAATGCCCTTACAATACTGCCGGATCTTACAAAATTATCTTTTCTGTGCATAAAACAGAATGCTCACTAAACATAGCTCAGCTAATTATTTTGATACAATTATTGCAATAACATTTTGCACTTATCTACCACTTTTTATATAATTCAGTTATTTAGGTTTTATACGTTTGTCATTCGTGAACACATTTTTGTGTTTAATTGTACTTTTTTTTTATTTTAACTTCTCTTTCATATTTTTCAATAAGAAACATTTGTACAACACTTTTCGTTAGCAAGCACGCAAGCCATTTATGACATCACAGCTCCTATTGGAATTTGACATTTCATTCCTAAATAAATTCTTGAAGTTCTTTTGGAAACCAATCTGTTGAATTAATTTAGAAATTTGTCACAAAAGTGTTATTTAGTGCGATTTCTGTGTAAAATATTTGTTAATGTGCCGCTGAATTACGTACACGTATAAAAATTACTTAATTTGCGTTGAAAAGAGTACAAATATGGAGGATATATTTCATTGGTGCCGTGAGGGAAACTCTATACAAGTACGCCTGTGGCTTGAAGATACAGGCAATGATATGAATTTAGGGTAAGAAAACAATTAAATTAAATTGTGTAATTGCCTCCATTATGACTTTATGCTCCAACGCGTTTTGGCAACATTCAATAGAAGTGAGTGTATAAAGTGCTGAGTGACGTCATGATGATTTGACTTGATTGCTTTGAAAAATTGTGTAAACATTTGCATACCAAATGCCCCCACTACATAAATAAGAACAACAACAACAACTCCATACGCAAATCTCGTTCGATATAAAAACATATTTGCATATGTAGTATGCCACTTGTGCATATGATTCAAAATATATGTGAATGTGCCGTTCCAAAAACAAAAAACCAGACATATTTAGTCAATGGCTAATGTGGATATAAGTGCATGACATACTGTGGTCCATTAATTTATAATTTGTGCAGGTCGTTTTAGATCATTACATCTATTCTCTTGTGAATGATGTTTTTTATACTATTATTTTACTTATTTATTTATTTCTCAAAATTGAAATTTAAATATTATTTTTCCTAGTGATGATCACGGCTTCAGCCCCCTACATTGGTGTGCCAAAGAGGGCCATACGAAATTGGTGGAAACCCTGATACAGCGTGGCGCTCGCGTTAATGCCACTAATATGGGCGATGATATTCCTCTACATCTTGCGGCTGCACATGGACATCGCGACATTGTGCAATTAGTGAGTCAATAAATCTTTGTATTCAACTTATACTTTTATCATTTATTTTTTCTCCTTTATAGTTAATTCGTGAGCGCTCTGATGTCAACGCGGTAAATGAACACGGCAACACGCCGTTACATTATGCTTGCTTTTGGGGTTACGATATGATCTGTGAGGATCTAGTCAATGCTGGTGCGCTCGTTTCAATTGCCAACAAAGATAACGATACACCCTTAGATAAGGCCAAAGCTGGTTTGTCAAAGCGTCTGCATGATTTAGCCGAACGAAATGGTCATGACATCAAGAAAATAAGCTTTAAAGAACAAAGTTGGTTGGGTACGAAAACACGTTCACGCGATGCCACACTCTCACGCTTTAAGGGTATTAATTTGGGCGAATTGGATTTGCATACAAAAATCGCTACTACGCCGTCGGGTGAGACATGGCGTGGCCGTTGGCAGAAGAACGATGTTATAGCAAAGGTGCGTGGGTGTTTGATATTGCAGTTTGTTTTGACAACTGWAGTTTGTTTTTATTTACAGATTTTAGCGGTGCGTCACTGTACGGCGCGTATATCGCGTGATTTCAACGAGGAGTTTCCAAAGCTGCGTATTTTCTCACATCCGAATATCTTGCCAATAATTGGCGCATGTAATCAGCCACCAAATCTAATTACAATTAGTCAGGTGAGTACAAGAGTTTTGAGATTGTTTTGTTTTTTTTTGGTTTTTTTTTTGGTTTTTTTTTGGTTTTTTTTTTTTTGAAATGCTTGGTTTTTCATCTTTATATCATACATACTGAGTATTTTTGTCTATCATATTATTCGTTTCTTTTTACAACCAACTAACCGTTTTACCCATCTCCCCACTCATCTGCATCTCTTTTCTGACGTAATTAACAATAATTTCGCTTATTTCCTGCTGCGATTTGATCATCTTTATTTAAGGGTTATATCCACTTACAAGTTCGAATTGTGATTTTTTTTTGTGAAGAGATATTTTATTAAATTGATAAATAAAAAAATGTTTATTTCTGTTCTACCAAAACAAAAGTAACCTTGAAAAATAAAAATGTTCCATACAAAAACTTCATTTTGATTGTTCAATTTGTATGACATCTATATGCTATAGTAATCCGATTTAAACAATTTTCTCGGATATTATATCCTTGCGTTAGATAATAATGTAACGCATGTAAAATTACGTGATGATATCTCGTAATTACTGTATTTTCATCGATCAGTTTGTATGKCAGCTATACGTTATAGTAATCCGATCTAAAAGGTTTCTTCGCAGTTTGTAGCCTTGTTTTGGGTAATAATCAGTGCCAAATTTTGTGAAGATATCTCGTCAAATAAAAATTTTTTTCATACAAGGACTTGATTTTTATCGATCAGTTTGTATGACAGCTATATGCCATAGTTCTCTGATTTCAATAATTTATTCGGAGTTTGTACCGTTGCCTTAAGCAATTATTCGTGCCAAATTTCGTCAAATAAAAAAGTTTTCCATACAAGTACTTGCTTTCGCTGGATCAGTCTATATGACAGCTATATGTTATAATGGGCCGATAGGAAAAAAATATTCGGAGATTGTCTCATTGTCTTGGAAAGTAATCTGTGCCAAATTTTATGAAGATATCTGGCCAAATAAAAAAATTTTCCACACAAGAGGTTGCTTCTGATGGATCTGTTTGTATGCCAGTTATATCTTATAGTGTTCCAATAACGGGGGTTCCGTCAATTAATCAGTTTCTTGAGCAGAAAAGGAGATGTGCAAAATTTCAGATTGATATCTCAAAAACTGAACGATCTGCTCGCAATTATGCAGAAAGACGTCGCGCTGATTATTTATATGTCTATATATTTTAAAAGTTCTCCGACGTTTAATTCTAGTTGTTACAAACTATGTGTTAAGCCTGAGTCGTATCTTGGGTAAAATAGTGATTTTTAAATTTCAGAAGTGGATATAACCTCAAATCAAAATCTCATATGCACTCCCGCATCCCGTTTAAACATGCATTTTTTGAAGTAAACATTACATTACGCATTTATTTTATTGAAATTGTCTCSAAAAACATTTGTATAGTTTATGACGCGTGGTTCACTCTTTAATTTGCTGCACCGTGCCACTGGTATTGTCGTGGATACGGCGCAAGCAGTGCGTTGCGCCTTGGACATAGCACGTGGTATGGCGTATCTACACTCACTAGAACGCATCATACCCACGTACAACTTGAACAGTCATCACGTCATGGTAAGTATAATTCATATATATGTACATATATAAATTTTCGACAATAACTAATTACACAAAATTTATTGTAATATAAATTATTACCACAGATCGATGACGATTTGACAGCGCGCATCAATATGGGCGATGCGAAATTCTCCTTCCAAGAGAAGGGACGCATTTACCAACCGGCCTGGATGTCACCGGAGGCGCTGCAACGYAAACCGGGCGAACGCAATTGGGAGGCGTGCGACATGTGGAGCTTCGCCATCATCCTATGGGAGCTGACAACGCGCGAGGTRCCGTTTGCCGAATGGTCGCCAATGGAGTGTGGCATGAAGATCGCCTTGGAGGGTTTGCGCGTGAAAATACCGCCGGGCACGTCGTCGCACATGTCGAAACTGATCACGATCTGCATGAATGAGGATGCCGGCAAGCGACCGAAATTCGATATGGTCATACCGATTTTGGATAAGATGAAACGCTAAAGCGCATGAGAGCAGGGGATTATCACAGTTGCCTTTGTAGGAGCTTGTGCAGCGCGTTTCTAGCACGTTTTCGCTTAAAACTAATGCAAAAATATAAATGTGTGTTGTATTTAAGCCAAGCCACAACGAAAATGCCAACTCATTTAAGAAATACGAAATTACCATTTACTGCAAGCAGCGCAGGTCCGTGTCTATTGCATAACTGCGCGGCATGCGATCGCCTTTGCCAAACCACAAAAGTGCCTAAAATCGTCAGAATTTTTTATTAACGCAAATATTTAACTCAAATCAAACGCGTATAAAGAAAATAATTGCACAAAGTATATTTAGTAATTTATAAAAACAATTTTATGCGTAATTTACATTTATACAAACTATATTTGAACCAGCCTTTTTCGATTCTAAATGTTGCACGTTGTGTGTTTAAGTCAATTATTCWTTGTGGCAACTGTAAAATGTCAAATTCTACAACAACAACAACAACAACTACTACTACCCACCCAATGTCGCATAACAATTAATTTATTTAATATATTTTTTACGTAATTGTTTACTAATCTCTGCTATTCTAAGAAGCCAATTTAACTTTTAGCTGTTTTGTCGGTGCTCTAACTGTATTACGTATTAATGCCACCACAGTTGTATTTCGTTAATTTTAACTACTTTCAACACCCACTGATTTATGTTTTTATCGTTTTTATACTAATTTCGATAATAAAAAATAAATTTTTTGTTATTGCTGTTATATTTTTTGATATTTTTATATACATATTTTATACTCGTACATTATATTTTAAATATTATGTAATAGCCAAAATAACAAATAAAATTTAATGTAGTATTTTTTTTTTAAATAAAACTTAAAGATAAGTGTTTTTTCATTGTGCATTACTCATTAGGGTGCGGTGTCACCAAKTCACATTAAAAAAATAGAACTCGTTAAACTTTCTCTAATATGGTCTATTAGTAAGTTATGCATTTTTTTAGAACATACAAAATGTCAAAAGTTGTTTTGCTTGAGTTTAGTCTGTCAGTTCGTATGCCAACTATATGCTATAGCGGT